CTGAACAATTATATTCTAAAGATACTTTTCTTCTTCATCAGAAAAGGAAAAAACTTTTGATTTTTTTGTTCCATTCAATATATATATATATATGTAAAATGATGCAGTCTCACCGAGCAGGGAAACAGACACAAGATTTTAATGAAATCAGATGTATTTTTTTATTTAGATTATGTTCTTATGTGTTCTTGTTCTTACAAGCGAAAAGTGTTGCTAACTCCATTCAGGATCAGTCTTTCTGGTAGGGAAAATCTTGCAAATAATTCGAAAATGTCTCTATTTAGAGAAGAAAGGGAAATCTTAGAAATTACTATTGGTTAATGAACTTGCTCGAGTGATTCCCACGGCTTAAAAGGGAAAAAAGATCTTTATTTAAATTTATGCATAGTTGGGCCAAAAATAGATTTAGAAACAGGATGTAGCTTTTAAAAGTGTGAGAAAGTATTTCGATTTGAATAATTAATTAGTAATAAAGTAGGAGTTGTTTTATAGCAAAGAAACTAACATAAAAGGATTAATAGAAACTTTTTATGTTACACACATATATATAATTGTGATTTTCGTGATCTGTGTGCGGCGTGACGTCATGAGGTAGGGAATCGTGTGCTTTTTAGCTTCAGTTTTGAGTAGGGAATGAACCAGCCCTTCTCTATTTTCTATTTAGCTCTGATATTTGATTCACTTTTTGTTAACTCATAATTTTAATAATTCCAAAGGAAAAAATACAAAAATACAACACACAAAAATAAATTATTTGGAACATTTAGGGAGCCTCTAAGCCTGAGCCTTTTTAGGCCTTATGATAAATCTGACATTGATAAATCACGTTTTTTTCACACTTTGATTTTTGACAATTCACGTTTTTTTCAAACTTTGAGAGCAATCCTTAGCTTGATCATTTCTACTTTAAATCCACATATCAAATTCTTAATTTCTAAAGGTATATTTGATATTGATGATAAAATGACAAAGAAATATTGTCGTTGCACTGTTGGAAAATATTTTGTTTTCAAATCAAAAGTTTGTTTTAAAAATAATTGAATTTGACACAAGATGAAAGCTGATTAAATTTTTCAGTTTTTTTTCGAGCGACATCATCAGAACAGAGTTTGGAGCGAGCGCTAGACTCACCGTGAACATTTTAATTCAACCTCATAATTGTTGTAATTTCAATTTTCGTATTTTGCCAAGAAAAAGATAACTTGCCAAATTCTTGCAACTAATAGTGACATTCAATAGCCAATCGCAATGTCACAAGCTGATTGCCCGGATGTTATCATGTCCTTGTTGCCATTCCGTAGTAAAATTGTTGCTAAAAACCAGTTACCAAATATCAAAAAGATGCAGACCTGAAGTTTTTGCCCATCCCCTCTTCTCCCCTCTCTCTGTACATCAAACACACAGTCGTTAAAGTGCCTGTACGCGTAGCTTTCTATTTCTGATTGTTATTTTGAATTTTTTCGATCTATTTTATTTTACCGGCATAACATGACTATTAATGAGTATATATTTAATTTCATTGATGGTAAGATATAATGAATTTGGTGTTAAATAAAAAGTTCATGTGGATTGCCTTGATTGAAATCATATAATTTTGCACATACTTGTCTGATTCATTGTTTTTGTTTTGTTTTTGGTTAAGCTTATAATATAAGTTTCAAATGTTACTTTCTAAAAATATTAAATTTGCTATAATTTATCTCTTGATAAATGCGTATATTTTAAGGTTATAAAATAATATTTGAGTATCTAAGCGGTCGTTTAGAAAGTCCAACTGTTTATTTAATATATCTAAATCTAATAAACTTTTGCCTACACATATTTTGCATTGAGTATAGATTTAAAGAAGTTAGCAGTAGTATTATTTGTTTGGTTCTTGTTATTAAATTGGGGATTTATAACTTTGTTTAGAGTTTTAATTTTTTTATAGAATTAAGGTACATCAAGAGTTATCAATTTTGCTCATGACATTTTTTTCTTCATTTTTTGCTTATATCATTTCTCTCAATATTATTATTTTTTTTCTTCATAGCATTTCGCTCATATTTTTTTTTTAAATTTTTTTTAAAAGTATTTTGCTCATTTTTTTTCTTCATTTTTGTTTATTGAGGGAGATTTATTTACGTCACCAGATTTTTCCCCCCTTTCTTTGAGCAGTATATATATATATACATTTTTTAAGCCAATCAACTGTTTTTAATGTGGATCATCCATCAATATTGGCAAGTTCTTATCACTTCTGGAGGTCACCAATGAGGGGATTTAAATTTTGACTAGGGGATTATAAATCGACTATGTCAACCTTCATCTATCAAAAGGTACCTCTAGATAGAATCAAGTTACCATGTCTTATATACTAGTGAATTGGTATTCAATATTTATAGTGGTAGTTACGCCGCAAAGTTTCAGAAAAATAAAATATTTTTCTTCATTGAAAAACCATGCAAATTTGCTTTGAATTTTGATCATGAGTGTACAGTGTGCCAAAAATAAAGAAAAATTCCCTGGATGACTTTTAATCTAATGATCCGATTTACATGTGTTGACTAAATTGTGTTGGGTTTACCTCAAAATGCAAATTAGTGTACAAAATATTTTATTCTACAAAATCAGGCACTAAAACATATTTTTTCTGAATGAACATGTTTTTTTTTTTTTCTCTCACATGGATTAGTATTTCTAATTTGAAATTTGGTTCCAATGGTTTTGGCCGTGAGAGCATTCCAAAGTTTGAATCCTTTAATGTTAATTTAAATTTTTGCCTATTCCGTTATATCTCAAGAGCTCTTCATGTGAATTGAAAATTTTTTTGTACACAATTATAAAATATCTTAAGATAATTCTGTATAAAATTTAAATTTTTTAATTCTTTTATTTAATAATAGCTGAAAAAATTTGGAATTGCAATTGCTTTGCTATGCTTTTAATTGTTTAAAATTGAACTTAAACATGAAAGCTGAAAAAATTTGGAATTGCAATTGCTTTGCTATGCTTTTAATTGTTTAAAATTGAACTTAAACATGAAAATTTACAAGCAGAACAATTGGTAAACAATTAGTAAAATGAATGATTCAAAGAATTGAAGAACAATTAGTAAAAGAATGATTTGAAAAAAAATTATTAAAAGACACATCTCTGTTCTACTTCAGAACAGCATCTACAAGACACATAATATCATATAAGACAAGCAACATCCATGTCATATCCTTTTTTGAAGTAATTTATCTTGTGTCACTTCCTCAGTGATGTCATACTTTGTTTGCGAACAAACATAGATATCTAAAGTAAACATTCGAAAAAATGAATGCTTGCACTCAGGGTTCATTCTATTCAATAAAATCTATTGGCACCAATTTTTTTGTAAATCCACTCTGTTTTCTGATCATTTTTTGGCATTAATAAATTGTTTTTCAGTTGTAGTTAATCTTTTTTTGACCATTTTCTCATGTTTTTTTTCCCTTTCAAATATCGATATATTTAATACATTATTGTGACATGCGCATTCTGATCTTTAGCTATCACTTCTGTAAAGCATTTAATTCCTGACAATTCCTTCGTAATTTTACCCCACTTGATAATAATTTTTCCAAAAGATGTATTTTTTGCACATTTTTCATATCTTATTATCTTTATTAATAATTATCTTTATTACGACATACGAATTTCGAATTTGTGTTGTCACTTTTTCGTGTGTTCAATTCAGGATGATTCTCTCACAATTTTATGGCGTTTGGTGATGTTTTTTTTTTTTTTCAAGTTAATTTATAATTTTTTCGACCCTTTTTATGTGGTTTTTAAACTTGCTATATGTTTAATACAATATTGGAAATTTGAAATTGAGTTATCACTATTTGATACGTTCAATTCGTGACGATTCTGTCACAATTTCTAAACTTTTTATCATAGATTTTTTGGCAGTTATTTATCATTTTAACCGCCCTTTTGAAATGGTTTTTCAAGCTTAATATTCTTAATGCAATCTTATTGCATCTTTCATTATTCGAATTTGAGTTATTGCTATTTAATGCATTCGACTCTTGACAATTCCATCATATGTTCTCCTTAGATACTGAGCAGCAGTTACCTCATGAAACTTCATAAACATTATTGCAGACAAGTGATTCTGCTGCTAAATTCCAGAATTCCGCGACTCAATAATTTAAAATCAGACAAAATATTCTTGAAGTTCTGCTAATTTCAATTTCGTTACTTAAACAAAATTTTGTCAGCAAAATATTATTATTTATACTATTGGCAGCAAAATATATATAATATATATCAGTACCCTCTTAATTCTTCCCAAGTTCTCATTCACGTGTGATAACTATTTTTTTTTTTTTACACAGATTTGTGTTAGAGTAAAATGCAACTTCGAATAACTTCGGGAAGGTAGACTGAAAAAAAATCCATATTAACTTCAGCTAGTATTAATAAACTACTGAAGCAAGCACAAAAGTATAAACTTGATAATCTAAAAAGTAATTCTGAAGTGGCAGACATTGAAAAGATCATTTACTTGAAAAAATGGTATTTTTCTCATTTTTTTTAAAACTTGCATTGAAATGTGCAGCAATTTTGTTGCAAATTCCGATTCTTAACAGAAAGATTATTTAATTAGTTTGATGTATTTTGCTACAATTAGATTGAGTTAATTATTAATATGATACTTTTTTATCGTTCATTTCAACGCGCTTGATACCAACATAAATCTATGTTTTGATCTTTTCTATGGGAATGGGGTCACATTTGCACAATCAATTGCAGTTAATGCAATATTTTTTCTCATAGTTTTTAAAAATTCGATATTATTATGACACACAAAATTTAAATCTTGCATTTGAATAATCACTTTTTGATGAACTCAATTTTTGTTGATACCAGCGTAAATCCATGAAGTGTTCGATCGTTTTATTGGCTATTATTGCTTTGAATTTTCTCAATGTTTTTTTTTAATTTTAATTCTTTGTATTTTTTGTACATTATTATAAAGATACACAAATGCAAAATTCTATTTAAGCACATTAGTCTCTTCTGCTGCAACGGTACCACTGTTTTTTTTGTAGATTTTTTCACAGTTATTGCTATTGATATCCACATGATTTTTTTAAAAAAAACTGTTATTTTTAAAAATGAGATTCGAATTGCACATTTCAGTAATTATTTTTTGACTCCCACGATTTGCGTCGTTCTATGCAGCTTTGCGGTCTTTTTTTCAGTCATTGCTGTTGAATTTTTATATGTTTCAAAAATTCTGATACGAAAAATTCAAATCTCGCACCTCAATATTTACTATTTAACGTGATTGTTCTTTAATTTTTTTCAATCGATTTTTCGGCAGTAATCATGACTGGTTTTTACATTTAATAAAAAAAAAGACTGCTTTTCACCTTTAAGGTGGGGCTTAAGACCCCATGTCTATATAAAAAGAAAAGTGTATTAAAATATTTTTTTTTAAAATCTTACTTTATTACTATATGTTTCAGTCTTGAGTTTGAAATATTTTTGTATAATGAATAAGACTTCAAACTTCAATGCTTATTCAAATACATTGTTATGAGTGTTGAATGAAATAATGAATTAAATGAAAATAATGCAATTGATTCTAATGGAGGGTTTATTTTTGCAGACAAGCTCAAATGAAGAGTGAGAAACTACTTAATCTACTTCTGGTTAGAATATTGTTCATCCTTCAAGGCGATATTGAATATTTTGCTTAGTTATCAAAACAAATAAATAAATGAAGGTACGAGTTAAAATTTACTAATATTCTAAAGCCTTTTATTTATTGTTTGACTCTTATGAAGTGTCCATTAATGATGTTTTCAGCAATATGTATGTATATATGATTGTAGGATACTAATTTGGTTTGGTAAATTCTAAAGATAAAATCAAATTGAGGCATGTCACATTTTATTATACAAACAAAACAATTAAACATAAAATAAAAAAAAATCATTTAAGCAACATTGTCTAACTGATCTCACATGTCAGTCAGGGTTGGCAGGTTTTTGACATGTGACAGTTTTTGACGGTTTAAACCATGGTTTAATCCGTCACGTCAAAAACCTCGCTGTCAAAAATGTCAAAAACCCATATTCATATGTGAAATTTAATTAATACATAAAATTTATATATTTTTTATAAAGGATAGTGTTTCTAAATATGTTCTAGAAAAAATAAATTTAAAATTTTGAAGAAACACTTATATTTTGAATAGTAACCAAAATCTTGTACTTTTGAAAGCTCACATCTTTTGTAATATTATGTATTCATTTTCATGTGTTATTGAAAATCTGCAGTGATATTATTAAGAAATTTATTTATAACCAAATTTAGTGTATAGTATAGATTATACTAAAAATTAGACATTTTTAAAGATAAACATTAGCAGTTTTGTACATTAGACATCTTTTAAAGAAAAATCTTT